GAATGACAAGGAATGTTCGTAAATATACGCGTCATGTCATATTTATTGTTAACATCTTGCACTATCAATAAAAAAAAAATGATCAAAGAAAAAATGTTTTAAAAAAGAGACAGTAAAATTCCAAAAAAATTTCCCTGAATATTAATAAAATTTCATAAAAATCCCTAATTTTTTCAAGGAAAAAAATTAATTTATATTATAAAATTATAAAAATAAAAAAGAAATCCCTTTAAAATTCCAGGTTTTCTAGATTTTTGAAGTAGTAAATACTGTAGTAATAAAATTTTAGTTCAGATGCATACTTAAACCAAGACATAGTAAGCTAAAAAAAAATACCAATGTCAAAAGTAAAAATACAGAATCATTACATAAGTTTTTAAAGATTCAATTGCACAATGAGTAACAATGAAGAAACTGATGTGATTCGTCCTACATTGAAAACGCACGATAATACTGTAATCGAGAGTAAAAGGCATCGAGTTGACGTTTCGTGGCAGCCGTCGTCGCAGATTTTTTCCTTCGTTCATACAAAATTGATTTCTCGTTCCAAGCAGGTAAACGCAAAGACTGGCACGATGTTTGTCTTGTGTTTGGACCGCAAAATTTCCGGCATCATCGTTGCTCACGTAGAGACAGAGGCCGATGCACGAGCAGTGCATTGCCGAGGCTTTCACGGTGATTGCTTTTTCGGTGTCGTTTGTCAGTCCGGACGCTCGGCGAGAAATCATTCGACCGTAGACGAAGCGAACGCGCCATGAAATCCTCCGCGGAACATCTTTGCATTCCCCGGAAACACCGTCACGTTTTCTTTCTTTTTTTTTACCCAAGAAAGATGCAAGGATAATTTTAATGTCGCTTTTATGTACGAGCATCGTTTAATTAATTTTAGAATTAAACGGAATGTTTAAACCAAATAAATTTAGAAAGGCCAAGGTTAGATCTTGTGTCTATTAATATTTTATGTGTAAATTTTAAATATATCTTCCAGTTATATAAACTGCGCGCCGAATACTACCAGACTTGCAATGCAATCATAAACTGAAGTTAACATTATAATATCATTAAATTGATCCTCTATTTAATAATGATGCTCTTAAGCATCTTAAAATACTGCGAAGAACTTATTAAAAAAAAATATTAACCCAACCAAGGTTTGAATCTGGAACCTCCCGATCATTCGAAACAAGTTCCAATTTGACTACTAAAGCATGTGACAATGCAATAACTAATATATACAAGGAAAGACTGTATTGAAAGGTCAACGTGTATAAAAAATAATAAACTAGATCGCTATTTGAATAAATCAAATAAATACAGAAAGGCCAAATAGAGACATTTACAGATACAGCTACAAAAACGTACTGTTAATAAAATTACGGTTTGCTAAAAACGCTTGAAGAAATGTACTTTCTTTATAGACTATATTTCGAGTTTTTGATTTAGAACGGAAATTAGAACAGAAACAAAATTAGTACATTCTTTTGTTCTAGAATAAATAATTAATATGAATATAATGCTTTCTTGATGAGCGGAAATATCATTTCTGTTTTGAAAAAAATTCACTATCACAATCAAAAATTATTTTAATGTTTGATACAAATAGTTTTATCTCTGACAACAGTATTACCTTAATAATTGAAGAAAGATTTTAAATGTACGTATATTTTTAAGTTTACATTAAATATAAATTCTAGATGTTTATTTTTAACATAGCTCGCAATTAATTTTTCTTTAACAGAATTTACGTTAGTAGTAAATTTAGCAAATATATGTATAATATTCCCTTGCTTGAAGTAAACATTATGAAAGTAAAATTTGCTTACAGATATATATATATATATATATATATATATATATATATATATATATCTGTAAAAATAAAAATTAAATCTTCACGTAGCAAGTTGGAAACGAAATAGAATCTTGCGTGGTGTATGAAAAAGAAAGTATACATTAAGTGTACATAAAAAAGTCATTTCAACTTCTTGTTCCATACGTTTTACGATCGCCTCCATTTAATGAAGCACTAATGACATCGTGAGAAGGTAACATAAAATTTGCGTACAGAAATTTCTCAGAAATACGATGAATTTCTTTCTCGAGCAACCGAGCGATCCTGTAAATCCCGTGGATTGTAAAGTTTCCACAGTCACGTGTGCGGAAAGTTTCCACGTGTCAAGAAAAAGCATCGGTGGCGACGAAGCGCGTCGCCGGGCTATTTACTCCCTTATTTATTATTTTTCGTGCAGACCATCACCACCTCGCATCCTCCCTCTCTTCCACCCGTCCCGATATACACGTGAAACTTTCCCGAAGGATTCCCCGTGGGATCGGTGTCCGTTTCCACCGCGAAGTTGCGCCCCCGGGGGTGGCAACGGCAGTTCGGTAACTCAGAGGAGGGAGGACTAGGGATGTCCTCGGGAGGAAGGTAGACAGACCGACACGATGGCATCGGGAAACTTACGGAGTTACGACGTCAACGACACGAATTGGCGGGGCTGGTTAACGATAATACTAGCTCCGCTCGACGTCGCTCTCGACTCTCCCACGGCGGAATTGAAAGACGACAGTGAGAAGACAATATGACATGCCGCGGCACGGGTTCGCCGAGCACACGCTTCGAAGCCACCGCTGTATGTCCTCGACGGATTTCCGAGTGGAAACATTCCACATCATTTTGAGTCAACAAATCCATAGATTGCTTCAGTAGTAATATTTAAAAAGAAATGTGAGTTAATTTTGACGTGATGGAGCGAACATAATGGCCGGGTTCGAGTCGGATGAAGCTACTAGCCTGTTTACGATTGATTGTGATTAATTGGATCTAAAGTCTAAAGGGAGAGGAACACTAACAGAGTCAAGTAACTTGTGATCGGCTAGAGTAATTCTTACTTAAGATCATAAAATTTATGATTAATTAGAGTAATTCTTGCTTAAAAGCAAAGAATTTGATACTGACTAAAGTACTTACTTACGGTCACGTGATTAGTTGGTGTCTCTTTCCTATATACGCTCTCTATTAAGTCTATAAATAAAAACTAATCATGTTTAATCACTCAACAAACAGGCTAGCTGTTTTGTAGTGACTTGAACGTCTAATAACAATACAGAATTGGTATGTACATGTATGCACGATAGCAGCGTTTCAGAAGATAAAGTCGCTCAACGAGCATTCATTCTTTAATAAGATTGATTCTTGCTTTTATATTTTTTATAGATCTAAATATATATAATAAAGAATCACTGAGCTCTCGGTGAACGGCTTTGTCTTCAGAACATAATTATTGACGTGAGTAGACCTAACTGAATTCCGTTAATTGATTCACCAGTTCGATTCGGGTGCTAATTAATTCGTTGACAAATTTCATTCGAAACGGCCGTGCGGCCCCAAATTGCGCAGTGAATTAACTAGTTCCGATGATGACCGGCAGCATGATGACACACGCAAGTTGCAAGTAGTATGCACGACCGTGTGTCACGTAGACGAAGGGTTTGACGGGGTGTAGCGGGATAAACCGTCGCACCCGTTTGCGCCCGAGGGATCGTTCATAAATTATGGACGCATTAATTATAACGGAGTTTGCGGACGCGAGTGTTTAGATTGACTTGACGACGAAATGGCCATGGCGTTCCACCCGCTCTCGCATGATCGCGCACGTATACGCGTTTGGACCTTGATGATCAAAGATATATGCAAGGATATCGGCTTAATTAATTAGCCCGCATAAACAACATACCGTCGAAGCTAATTTGACACGCGTAACAACTATTGTATTGACAGGATTCTCTGGTTTCATGCTTGCCCGCCTTCGGCTAACGCCTCGAGGCATCGAAGTCACCGTATCGACGGGACGTATCCTTGCTTCACAGATATGTAAAACTGAGGAAAATGTTTTGATTGAACTAACAAACAACTTGGATCAACAAGAATGACATTTTGATAAGATCCATAGACACAGAAGAATACACTGAGAAGAATTTCTGATGGAAAATGGACAAACTAGAAGATTCCGATTATATCAATCAGAATTTCGATTAACTCAACTAGAATTCTAGATTAACAAGAATTAGTTTTTAGAAAACTCTGATTCGTCCATTTTCAATCAGAAATTTCCAATTAATTCAACCAGACATTTTTCTCAGTATAGATTTATCTGTTCTTGACGTCTGCACTCCATTAGAAAAAAATTGAGTATTTCTCTTTAACTCGATATTTTAGAAAAAGAGAGCGATATGTTATTACTTCTTTCTCTCTAAATTGAAAGTACAACTTTATAGGAATGCGCGTCTATCAAGAGACACGGTAGTGTTTCGGCATCAAGAGCACGCCATGAATAGCACAAGACTGGCCGTGTATCTTTATTCTTATTACGTCTATGGTGAGACCAAATAGAATTTTTTATTATGATATAAAAGAAATTCTATTTGGTCTCGCTAATCAAAATGTCATTTTTATTATGTACGTTTTCATTTCATCAAAATTGTTTTTCAGCAACGTTATTACGTCAATTTTCATCGATTAAAAACTTATCATCTATAAAATATGTAATTTTACAATTAAATGATACGTATCTATTCCAACGACATATATACATAGATCAAGCATTCTCATGCTTTCAGTGGTAGGGAATGAAGCCGGAAATGGACTATTTAAGAGATCGTTGAGGATCCGTGTTATCTCAATCCATCTCACACCTGCGACTGTTAAGAACACTCCTCTCTTTTAAGATAGGAAGAGAGCAATGGTTCTAGTTAAACTGCATCTTCCAGCTTCAAGCTACGAACAGAACACTTGATCTATGTATATATGTCATTGATATTAACTTATAAAGTTCAACATCACTTTAGGTATCTGCGTCATTGATAGAAAAGGAAAGAAGCAAGTGTTAGAAGAAGATCGAAAGAGAGTTAGTTCGGCGAGAATAGCGTAGTAGTTCATGCGGCCATTCCCGAAGTTTAGTGAAGCGAGAAAGAAGTGAAGCGAGAAGTATGACACAGACCTCAGAGGTGTTGGCGACATCATTTGTTGGGCTACTGACCGCGTTGTTGGAGTGCGTTTGATCCGTCTTGAGTTCACGATGATTGCTGAACTGCACGTAGACTGCTCTGCCTCTGAGTTGAGCCACGCCGGTAGCGTAATAATTCACCATGGTCGCCGCAGCATTCTCGTCCCCCATTTCGAGAAACGCCTGTAACAAAAAAGAAGATTCCATCAGTTGCAAAAGCACGCAAAAGTTGTTTCAAATTTGATTTCAAATGTTTTTCAAATAGTAAATGTAAATAAATCAAATATTTAAATAAATAGATTGCTCTCTTACTTTAAAAGTAATAGAATTTGAAAAAGTCAGTTTTCCAGAAAGGAGGAAAACAATTTTCCAACTTGATGGAAAATTATTGACTGATCAAATAATATTGGCAAAAAGATATACTTTTAATATAGTCAAATGTCACTTTTATTTCACAATTTCAACCTTAAAAAGATCATCTTGAGTTCTGACGACTTTGACGATTGTTTTTAATCCACTCTTTTTCAGTAGTGACAATTTTAACTATTTTTTATGAAGTTAAGTTAGTTCATTTTTGATAAAGTAATGTTTATAATTCCTTTATGGTTATGACTCAAATATTACCGAGTTGTATTACTTTTAAAGGAAATAAGGAAGCGACGTCATAATTTACATAAGCGTATTAATTCTTATTTAATTTTTTTGTCACCACTAATTGACGATAATTATATCAAAGGGCTTTTAAAACATATTTTAGTTGCGCCTAATTTGTGATTAAATATTTAAATAGCTTAAACATTCATAGCGAGACTAATGAATTGAAGTCCGATATATAATACGCTTTTACTACTTAACTACTTTACTACACGCTGTATACAATTTCACAAAGCATTTACGTATCGCAGTCTTACTGAGTAAAATTCTCTTGCACAGTTTGAGAGATAAAAGGGGACACACGACTGTCCAAGTTTGCTCAGTTACTTTAACCCGAAACCGATCTCGGGAAGTTATGTCGAGATTCTTTTCTGATTTATGCGCGGAAAGGTAAAACATGCAGGAAGAACGGGAAGCATTTTTATATTTACCTCGGAGCGCAAGTCGTAATGGAATATCTGAAACTCGCGTACGGGCAAACAGACGGCAAAATTTCAAGGGGTAACAAGGGACGAAAACGGGGTATAGTTCGAAATAAGTTTGTATACGCACAAGAATTTCGTTTTAATTACATCGTTCCGTGGCAAGAAGGCAATTGGTTTTACAAAACTGCCTCCTTTTATTTGGGTATTTTATTTTTTTTTCGTTTGCTTAAACAAACGTATACCTTTACGGAACAACTTCTATCGTGTAGCGCTATATTACGTATCGTAATAATTTATATTGTAATTTCGTCGGGAAATAAAAGTATAATCGTATAAAGGAGAAAGAAAAACGTCTCTCTTGAGACCCCGAGTGAATTTCGCTTGGATTCTTTTCTCCTTTGAGTGTTCATGAAATTAATAATCCCGTATTTCTAAATCGTCCTCGTGCGCAACTCAGCGTAAAGGAAAAATTCCCCGAAGACCTCCGGTCGCGAAGTCGCATTCGCGACAGTCAAGTGGTACGTTTATCGAGGAAAACTTAATAAAAAGCATTACCGCCCCCACCCCCCCCCCACCGTCCTTCGACCGTTTTATTATCGCGACCAAGGCGAGGAAGAAGGGCGAGATTTTGCTGAGATAGAAATCGAGCCCACAGATATAGAGAAAATTGATTTGTTCCGCGTGGGGGTGGGGGGATGAAGAAGTGGAGGAAAAACAGCGCGAGAAGATTAATTTAATGTCGCATAATCGTCTCGAAGAAGCAAGGATAACATTTTGCGATATCTGCATTTTCAAGCTCATAATATGTATAAACGGTGAATAAGCAGGGGAATGAAAGGCGCAAGACAGGAAGGAAGGAAAGAGGATATTTATGTTATATTCGCCGCCGAAGCAGAGCTCTTCTTCCCCTCCGTTTTCCGCCCGATCCATTTTCAATTCAATATCGATGCATTCGTAACGCTCGTTTCTTCTCTTCCTCCCCCAATCCTCTCTCTCTGTCTCGAACGCTCCTTCTTTCTTCTGCGTTCGTCACCCGCCCTTTTCGTATCGATATCGATATCACTTAAAGCCTCGTCGCGTCTCCTCGTCATGAGAGAGACGCGACCAGTATTGAAATGGGAATGATAGTTCCTTATATACAAAAGCACGAGGCACGCTGCTCGATTGTGAGGATCTCGGTGAATCAGCTGGATTCCGTCGTTATTGTGTAATGCGCAAATCAAGCACTAGGAAAAAGTGCCGTAAGGCATGTCTTATTATGCGTTTAACTTGATAACTTTCTTAAAAATTTATTATCTCGTCCAGGTAAAAGGGATAAAAAAATAACCTATAGTTCGTATATCTTTTTGCAAACTACCTTGAAGCTTTTGAGCGCTTCAAAGAAAACTTGATATCGAGAAATGCAATTTTATCCGGATAAAATATCCCTCTCGTTGTTGTATATTTTCCGTTCGCAAAACTAATATAAGTTTTCTCCGTTGAATGATATTACCGCGAGCACGTCGTTATCGATTGTGTGTAGTTTTTCGTGATATTTAATTTACTTTGCATAAATGCAGCTGTCGTGTTTGAATATTTGAAGGAGCTCTTCTCCTCAATATGTATTTCAGTTAATAGAGAGAAATAACAACTTAATATAATATATTACATTCTAAGAAAAAAAGTTACGATCTCGCGATAATTTCGAAGAATAAGATAAATATATAGGCTGTGTAAACACAAGCGAATCTGACATTAGCATTTACTTTCATACTTTTGTCTTTTCTGGCTAGATTAAGCGCAGAATGAGAGTCGGAATGAATTTCCGGAAAAATTTGTGATTTTCACATTAAAAGTCTCGCAAATACAATCGATTAATTTTGCGCCAGTTAATCTAAGCAATGAACTAGATGACAGAATAATTGTAGCGTTATGCGAGTCGTATTATTTCAAATTTATCTAACTACGCACGTCAACGGGTTTCGGATTTGTATCCAAACACTCACGCTAATTACGGAACATGTGGTGGACAAATTAATTAATTGTAAACGCACAAGTGAAACACTAAGCAAACAGTGATATTACTTCACGGAGTATTTGTGTTAACTTCAACGAACTATCCTTTGTATTCTACACATTCTATGATCTGTAGCTGATGTAATCTTTCAATTAGTGAAAAAGCAATTTGTTAATGTAGCGAATACACGACTGTAATTCGCGGCTCGTAAACAACGTATATAATCATGCGGGTATCCATAAACAAATTATGACATATTTAATTAAATGCATACGATTAAAATAAACATTTTAAGGACGCGCGTAATAAATGCATTTGTTTTTATCGAATATGAAGTATTGTGCATTTAACGGCTCATCATGTTATATCCATTCGTTTATTATATCCACAAAAGTTATTTACACGTTTGTGAATTCACTAGTAAATGTAAAAATATTGAAATACTCTTTCTGCGTAGTGGTCCATTTTGCATCAGTAAAGTGACCCAGTTTTTAGTTCGTGTATTGTAGATCGAAAATATTTGCCGAATAAGCCATGAAAAATATTGGCAAAGAGACGAGATTCGATATTGATAGAACGTTAAAGGAAATAAAATTTCTCGTCAGTAACTTTTCAGGCGTAAGAAAAATTTATTTTACTACGTAAAATGCATAATTCTCGAACCGTGATTATTATCAAGACTTTCCCAATCTTTGCTAAATTCGATGCGATTATTTCTTACATTTGCTGTGAACTTATTGATATATAAAAATTAGTTTTGAATTTGTAGACGTAAGAAGTGGAGAGATTACAAATACCATCTTGTACAAAGTAAAAATTATTTTGTACTTGTGTGAAAACTGATCTTTGTGAACATTTTTATGTCTTTAACATATCTGAGTGTGAAGTTAACACAATGTGATTATGTTATTCGAATATTTTGTGTTAAATTGATATTTAATATTTCTTAATGTCAAAAAATGATAATTTATGTTATGAATAATTAAACAATAATATAAAAATAATGTAGTTTCTAAAAAATAAATGTATATGTGTATTATTTTAATATATTATAAATGTTAACATTAAAAGTAAAATCAATTGATTAATAATGAAAAAATGAGTTTCTACAATTTGTTTCCAAATTGTGTCAAAGAGTGCACTTAACACACTATAAATGTTTCGAAGAATTTGATTGACCAATTATAAGAAAGAATTTTATTAATTAATCAATTAAAAAATACTTCAAAGCATTTGTATTAAATTTTACATAATGTTTATGTTATTTTCCAACATATTCATCTTGTATTAAATTAACATAAAAATTTGAGTGTCTTTTTGGAATAAGTAAAATGTATTAAATTCAACACAAATTTTAACACAATTGTATATCAACTGAATTGAATCTGCATGTACATGCAAATACAAAGTGTATCCTCTTTGACGGATCTGCCGATCCTAATTAACGAATTAAAGCTGGAACTAAAGGAGTTGTGAGAAGCTTCGAGAGGATGCAGGAAGTCGGAGAGAACTAGGTCTGAGAGAGAGAGAGAGAGAGAGAAAAAATATTAGTTGATGAAAATGAGGTTATTCGGAACGAACGATCGCTCATTCGCATTTCGCACGAGAGGTCGTCATTTTACGTAGAGACGACGAATCTGTGCGACCGAACGAACGAACGAATGAACGAACGGCTGGCACAAGTGTGAATAATATCGCGGCTGGACCGACCGACCCGGATTTAACGGCATTAACTCCGTTTCCAGCGCTAATGACGCATAGAGCCGCGCAATTGGGTTTCCGTGCGAATGGGACGAAATCCTCCGCGCGGAATCTGCTGAATCCAGGATCAACCCTTATGTTGGCGGACACGCATCCTGGCCGCACGATCACGTCGCTCGCTTTGACGATCAAGCGCCATGATTTTCGGCACAATGATCCATTCAGCTACCTAACGAGGATGTGTGCATCCGTCGAACGCGCAGCGTGCGCTTTAGAATAGCGAAGTAGAACGATGTAACGTATCGCGATAAGCCTATCGCATTAATCGAAGAGAAGATACGTTTTCAGACGTACGGAAACTTCGGACACAGATGAATTTTAATCGAGCGGAGGCTGCAAACCTCCGT